CATCCTCATGGTTTCCTTTCACACGATGCTCATGCAGAAAACCTCGCGTGAATATGGCTGTGGAGCACTATTCTGCTAACGAAAAACTCCACTGCGCAAGTCGGAGGAATAGCTATCGAGCATTCCTCAATGGTGCTACTTGAGACCTTTAAGGCCGTGATGGAGAATAGTTGAGGACAGCGGAGGAAAATGAAAATAGCGGCATAAAACATGAATTCTGCCTTTTCGTACATTCATATCCTACCCGACTCGACGGCCACGACGACACATATAAGAAAACTTGGGGAGGCGAGAAAAACAGTTGAGAAAGTTTAGGAGTACTAGATTACCTGACGCTTTTGATATCATTAGCAGCTAGGCTGTATTGATGGGGACGGAATCGTATCAAGACCACCTTCAAAAAGAGTCACTGCTGCGGATTACTTCTTTGACACGACGTTCATCCAGCGCGCAAGTGCCTAACCGGGGTAGCTGAGCCACACGTCATGCCTATTGACTGAGAATGAGCTTTCGAATGAGGCACGGCAATGACGCTCGTTGCTAGCTGTAACTTTCGGCGGGGATCATTATATGCAAAGTTTTTGACCTCAATTTTATTAGGGAGAAACTGGAAACTGTGCTAATCAGGGGTTGATTGACCGCTTACGTTTCTGATTTTTATTTCCGTTTCGGACCCGTAAAATTTTGCTTTGCCTTGACGAGACTTGCTGACTGAAACACAGGGTTTGCATGGGAGTAAGCAGGTAATTTTTAGGAATATTATTTTCAGCGCCTAGAATAACTCGAAGTGATGCACAGTTCAGAGCTTTGAAGAAAACAAAAGCGCTCAGATGGTGATTAGACATGCTACAATGGGTAAATATTCAGAACCGCAAGCTCAAGGTTGCTTTTCATTTTTAAATCCTCTCCTGTGCAGGGATTGAGTGATGAATCCGAAAATCTCAAGGATCTGCAGCAATGAGTCGGATTAATGAACGAGTTGCTTTGCTAGTTTCGTCCTCCTCTTGTATGGAGCAGTAGCAGTATGTAGATCTGGCAAATTGTAGAGAGCAACAAAAAAAGTAGAAGGTAGAAATTAAAATGTTCATGATCTATATTTTAGATGTTTCAGTCTATTCGCCAAAGGCTGGCTACTTACCCCAAGTGCTTCGAACAATCCCACCGCTCAACGACAAGAAGTTCATCGAACAGAATTTCGCTAATTGCCTTGTGAAACCGTACGCGTTGCCGCCAGTGAGGTTCACGGACAAACGGGTTGTCTACTGGGTGAGAACTTCGGTTGTTTCATGTTTCACTATCCTAAGGTGGAGTCTGGAGCAAGCTAAACAACTAGTTTTGAGTTTTTAGCAATATGTAAGCACGTCTGACTACACTCAGACCTCCATCACCTTTACTGAAGCTGCTTAGTGATTGTTTCACAAGAATGCTGGGTTGTGAACAAAACTTTCGCCCCAGGCGGGACTCGAACCCGCACCTCTTGCTTTCCGGGCAAGTGCGCTACCAGTTACGCTACCGGGGCATCATTTCATTCCAACTCTGCTTTTCATTATACTCCCTGATTGTTTCCAGAAAATTTCCTGAAGGTGCCTTGTTCGTAGGAAGAAAACAGCTTTTGTTCCTAGGTCATTTCTCTCGTGAAGTTACGTCATTATTCTGAAGTTAAGAACGGGAGGTGCAATGCCAATGGGACGAGTACGCCGACTTTCTGAATACGGGCGCGAAAGCATGTGCGTAGGGATTGGTGCCCAGTGCTATGATGTCACGAGAATCGAGGGAATTCGTGAGTCAGGGGCAGTAAAGTAAATTCAGAGGGTGAAGGGGGCAGTCCTTTTGACATGGCACGAAAAGCCGCGAAATATGTGAGTTACTTCCATAACGTCTCGTCGCGTCATCGCAGTGGGCACCAGTCTCTACGTACACACATTCCGAAATACCGTATTCGGAAAATCGACGCACTCGTCTTACTAGCATTGGGCAAATTGGGCAACAAAATATAATACTTCGTTACACGTTGTAATGAAAACTCTCACTGAGTGTTTACTGAAGTTTGCTTGGACGATACCCCTGACTTTGACCCTTTTGAAAATCAGCTATTGATTTATCGAACTTGAACTCTCCACATTTATGCAGTCTCTTTCAGATAGTCGAATATGAACCACTACTGGACTCTTGCGACATGACGTTTCGACGACTGGATTCGCATTGCTTCTGATATACAAAAGGTTTCTTGACATATTCAGCTTGAATTCCAACAATTGAAAAATTACTACACTTGTCAATTGACAGGTTTTAGTTAGAATTTTTCTTGAATAGCTGAGTAATACAAAAAGATTTCAGCATTGGAAGGGCAGAAAACGAAAAACAAATTGAACTGAAATACCTACTGCTTTTCTTCAATGCTATCATCTCCCAAGATTGAACCTTTAGCTACGAAATTCCGTTTGGACTTTCGATAAAATGTCAATTGAATAGACGCAGAACATTCATCTCTTTTGAAATTGTATGTATTGCAACAGTTTCTGATAGTTATAGAAATCTTACTCGTTCAGGCTTACAATAATTACGACGGGTTTGTCGTGCTTCACGGCACTGACACATTAGCATACACGGCTAGCGCGTTATCGTTTATGATGGAGAATCTTGGGAAACCGGTGATAATTACGGGAAGTCAGGTAATTACTGTTGGACAAATCTGATCAAGCTGTTCATGTGTCTCTTGACATGCTCGCCTTTCCAGATACCAGTCGCTGAAGTGCGTTCAGATGGTATGGAGAATCTCATTGGTGCGTTAGTCGTCGCTGCAAATCTGGACATTCCTGAGGTGAGCCCTCTCGAATAAGCTGGCGAAGAAATTGGCATGAGGGTTCTATGGGAAGAGTATCTGACAGGAGGCCCGTTACGCGGCGAGATGGCAGAAACGCAGACTTGTCTGCGGACGATCGTAGCGTGCACTGTACGATCTGAGACGAAGTATGGTACACCCTAGTCAAGCCGACGTGAAATCGGCACAGTACGCGTTGCGAATCGCCGTCACCCGTCCGGCTCGGCACAACTCTACGTGCGACGCGCGCCTCTGTCGTGGTAGCCCTACGAAAGCAGCACTCCTCATTGATCTCAATAAAGAATTAAACCACTTTTCAGGTGTGCGTTTACTTCAACAACAAGCTTATGAGAGGTAATCGTACTATCAAACTCGACAATGCTGCGCTTGAAGCTTTCGACAGTCCGAATATGCATCCTTTAGCCAAAATGGACATTAAAATAAAAGGTGAGGATTGTACGGCGGAAATCGCCCACTGCAATAAAAACCTTCTCAAGCTCAGTAGGACACTCACTTTAAAATAATATTTGGGAGGACTCAAACCCTTTGTTGACTTCGCTTAGTTCGTAACAAAGCAATTGCATCGTTGTTACTTTCAGTCAACTACGACTCCATTTTCCGTAGCCCGAATGTGAATCCGTTCACCGTCCACGACAATCTTTGCCGTGATGTTGGACTGCTGCGAATCTTCCCGTCAATGAGCATTGAATCGGTAATATCATCACTTACTATAACATTCGGTTTTGGGGAATTTTGTACGAGTCTAGGGAAGCTTTACCTAATCAGCGAACAAAGGAGATGCTGTGGTGTCACGAAAAATTGGGCCGTGTATAATGATTGCGGGCTTCACTGATATTAATTTCGCTTTCAGGTACGCGCATTCCTGAAACCACCTACGAAGGGGGTCATACTGCAGACGTTCGGTGCTGGTAACATGCCGACAAGACGAAAGGATATCATCGAAGCGTTAACCGTTAGTAACTTTAATGTATTTTCCCAAATTTCTGTCAGAAAATGTGTTTAAAAGTTTTGTATAACCAACAAGCAATCACTACGAAAAAAAATTAAAGTCAAACAGTGCAAATACTATGATTATACAAACGCCAAAGCGCTTGTTTCAAAAGATTAACACATCTCCTAAAGAATCGCTAATATTTAAAGGCACGAGTCGAGATCAGGCGAAGGAGCACCCCTCTATCAATATTTTGAATGGTTCTGCACCTCGTGGCTTGAAACGGTACGGTTATAATAAGTCGGGCCTAGTACTTAGGGCTGTGGCTGAATGGTATAGGCTAAGACCGCCCACCGCGAGAAGTGTTGGGTGGCACTCATAGGGCCTGAAATCAGCCGGGTAGAAGGGTAGGCTTATCGACTGTAGTCGACACGGCACCAGGAAACTGGCATGTCCGGAAACTCGTGTGAACACGCCTTCCTTCGCTGCTGTCGGGAGAGGGGGTTATTTTGGCCCTCCACCTCTTCCCGTCTTTTATCCCTACCGTTTAATTTTGTGTCGCTGCGTCAAGCGCGGAAATGCTACAACTCTAACACGATTCGTGTTTTTGAGCCTGTCAAAATTAGTGTTTTCATGTGCCCGCTATAAAATTACCATAATTTTTTGGTACATGTGCTTTTATAACATGGCCAAGATGTCACAACTAATGTTACAAATGAATAATGCTAATTTATGCTAGTTGTTCGTGGACACCTCTTTCACATTCTCGGTGAGGTTTTCCCTGCTCACTCTCGGGAAAAAATGCTGTGGCGATCATTCCCTTTTTATGTGCTGTGCAAGCTACTATCATATAACACTAAATTGTGAAAATAGTTATTCATTATGCCAGTTCATTGCATGATCTATAGATGTGATCTGATGATCTCTACGGTATCTAACAGGGCTCATTCTGATAGCTCTTCGCTCATTGTTTGGCACTCATTCTTTTTGATAACCCCACTATTCGGGTACTGTCGAGGGCCTTCAGATGGGTAATAGAGAGTATCGAATCTTGATGCTGTGTTTGGTGATTAATAACACTCTCGTTAGGTTGATATATAACATCAAAACACTTCAAGGTTATCCTTGAACTGCGTCACAACCACGCACAAAGTCAGGTCTTGCTTGGGATCGCAAATCATCTTCTCGGAGGTCAAACCTAGCTCCATGCATAGGCTCCTTGGAAAAATGTCAATTAGACAGAGCGCGTAGTGTAAATCCTCCTTCGCTGACCAAACATTTATTATTAAAAAGTCCAAAATTCGTAGGAATCGTCAAACAAAGTTAAACCTTCAAACTAGATATAACTAGCTTAGCTGACCCACGTCAGCAAATAACAAAATGATAGGCATGAAAGATTGCAGGTGAGCAATATCTTTCTTGTTCCAAAACAAAACACGCACTTTGAATTTGCAAAGCAGTTGATTCTTCAACCCTTATTGTTTCTCCGTTAATTTCCTTTGTTTTCAGGAGGCGATCAATAGAGGGTGCCTTGTTGTCAACTGTTCTCAATGTGTCAAGGGGCAAGTGGATGTGAACTATGCTACAGGAAAGGTGATTTTTATGGGCTCTTTTAACTCTCTCGTAGATAATTAAGTTGAGCTCTCAGAAGTTCGCAGTTTCCCGGCATTTGGTAGGGATTTTGTATTAAAAATATAAGAAACTGAAAACGGAAAGTCAATTCTTCGATGTTAAGCGCGTTCTTGTATTATTTACTCATTTATTTATTTATTTGTTTGTTTATGTGCCGCCGAAGTGCATTAAAAAAACTTGTTTAAGAGAAGTGCATGCATGCAAACAGAACTTCAAAGCAACACCCCAGATCAAATTTGTGGGGTCACAGCGGTCGATAATGGAGTTGTAGATGCCAAGTTGACTAAAAAGAAAAAAAGAAGCGAAGAAAACCGTCGATGAAGCCCTAAACAAGTATTTCTCCTGAAAAGAGTGGAATCCTTGGGAAGAAAAGGATGGGGCCGGACGAGTTGTACGAACTTTCTGATCCGCGGCTCATCTAACCCGCTTGTATTTAAATTAACCGCTACATCGTAGTATACGTGGCGTGTCATAAGTTGTGCGCGACGCAACTCGTCCATACGTTAAGAGTACTCGTCATCCGTTTTTTGTAACCCCTAGTGCCATTATCGCACATTTCGAGCAGCGATAAGGGCACATCTGTGACATTCCTGAGCTACTCTGTCGCAACCACTGAACAGATTCTCCAACATGACTTTTATTGGGGGCATTGCTTCAAGCATATGCAAGAAAATTCATAATTTTCTCTTCGAAGTAACGGTAGTATTCTGGTCCTGAATTATTTGGCTTTATCACCCATCTTGACATGAACTGTTGTCCCTTGAGAGTGCCTATGAATTTCGTTCAATCAAAAAAAGCAGCGAATAAACAGCATATTTCTTTGGAGGGATCTTCCTAAAACTCATCCATTTGCCCTCAGCCTCTTTCACGGTAGAACAGATTCCGCAGTTCCAAGTTTTCTGGTAAATCTCCCAGTATTGGCGGCCAACCGTCCATACTCAAGAATTGAATTATCCCGATTTTTGTTCTACCTTCAATTGTTTCAACAACATCTATTGAATAAAGTGCCATGTCAGTTGCACTCACTGCCCTTGTCAAATGACTT